GCTTGCCAGGGCCCTGGCTGGCTGCATTCTCTCTGTGGCTCTGGAAGCCTGGCACGGGTGGCTTCCAGGGTCAGGCATGGCTCAGCCTTGCTGGTGCCAGGACTCCTTGGGTGGGAGAATCTGCCTTCCGTCTCCGTCCTTCATCTTCCCCCTGGGGCTCCCAGCCCCACCTCCTTTCTCTGTCACACATCATTGGCGCTGGACCGTCTAAAAGGATGCTTACAGTTTTCAACATTTTCACATCTGCAGTTACATTGATCCCCCACAATGACTCTGTGGAGCAAGCCAGCATTCATCCTTCCATTCATTCCACTTTCCAGGGTCAGGCATGGCTCAGCCTTGCTGGTGCCAGGACTTCTTGGGTGGGAGAATCTGCCTTCCGTCTCCGTCCTTCATCTTCCCCCTGGGGCTCCCAGCCCCACCTCCTTTCTCTGTCACACATCATTGGCGCTGGACCGTCTAAAAGGATGCTTACAGTTTTCAACATTTTCACATCTGCAGTTACATTGATCCCCCACAATGACTCTGTGGAGCAAGCCAGCATTCATCCTTCCATTCATTCCACAAACACAGTGAGCACCATCCATTCTGCCAGACCCTTTCCTAACTGCTGAGGATGGTGAGGTCAGGGGCTGGGCTGTCCTCACAGGATGGGTGGAGGCAGGGCAGACTAATTCCATGTAATAGGAAGTGGGGGAGGGGCCGTGCTGGACACAAACCATGGGGAGTCTCTGCCCAGTACCCTTTCCCACAGCTCTGTGCTGGTTCCTGGAAGCTGGGTCTCCAAAGACTCCCTGCTTGGGTTGGGGCTGTGAGAAGTGTGGTGACAGCGGCTGAAATGGCAGGGTGAGCTACACCTCCACTCTTGGCCAGAGAGTCCGACCACCCCAAGGATAGGTGGCCCCATCCATGACAGTCAATTTTCACATTCTCTGTCCTGTGGATTTCATGGGCTGGACTCAGATGCTGGATAAGGGTGGGGAGTGTGAGTCTAGGTGAGTGCTGGAGGCCAGCACTCCGGAAGGGAGCCTGACCTCCACCACGGCCACTGGTGGTGAGAATGTTGACTGCTGGCCACCAGCCCCTGGACCTGATCCCCTCACCCTCCCCAAGTCAGAACTCTGGGCAGAAGGCTGCAGCAGGTGAGGCTGGGAGGAGCTGTGAGGTCCAGACTGCTCCGCTTGCTGCCCAAGATCATTAATAACCAAGAGCTGGAAAGGTAATTAAGAGCCAAATGTGGAGCTGAGCCTGCTGCTGGCTCCAAGGAGGGGCCGCTCCTGCTCCTCAGGCCCGGTGCTGGCTGCCTTGTTCCTTCTCTAGGAAGGTATTTTTGGGGGAACGTGGGCCCTGTAATTAAGAGCCAAATGTGGAGCTGAGCCTGCTGCTGGCTCCAAGGAGGGGCCGCTCCTGCTCCTCGGGCCCGGTGCTGGCTGCCTTGTTCCTTCTCTAGGAAGGTATTTTTGGGGGAACGTGGGCCCTGGGGGACGGGGGCAGGAAAGATGCCTCCTGCGGGTTCAGAGCTGGCTTGGCCCGGCTTCTTGCCCTCCTGTTCAGAGCCGCGATGTCCCTGCCTCCCCTGCCCAAAAGGGAGGGCAGAAAGCTTGGCAGGGGAGAGGAGAGGGGACAGTGAGGCCACAGATGTGAAAGTACTGTGAACAAGGACCTGACGATCCAGGCACCGGAATGCTGTTTTTTTCTCTTGGTGGAACACAGCGTAAGAGGCACTTTTCACTAGTCTCAGAGTAGGAAATTCTGTCTAACCCGGTTCCCTCCTGCCGCTGCCATAGCTGTTGCTGAGTGGCTCATGGCCTCCACCAGCTTTTCCCAGGGAGCCAGAGGCATGTGTTGGGAGAGGGGCAAACCTTACAGGGTGGGGATGATGTCGTGGGTGAGGACCCTCCAGACCAGCCTGTCTTGCTCTTTGAAACGGGAGGGCTGTCCTTAAGCTTCCTAAGGGATTGGGGAACCAGAGACCCCAAAAGCCTCAAGACCCTGAAGAATTCAGGTCAACTTCCTGTTTCTCAGTTGTAGCAGGCAGTGGCTACAAGATGACCTTTATCTCATTAGGAGGCTAGGAAACTAATTAGGTGTCTGGAGCCTTAAACAAGTCCGGGGGTCCTTGGCTACAAGTGCTTATGGCTGGCAAGTGACAAGTAAATAATAGTTTTATTGAGCACTTCTGTGCTGGGCACTGAGCTCAGTACTTTAATGCCCACACCTGGCCAGTGATAGAGGTATTACCACTGCACTTCACAAAGGAGGGAGGACAGAATGTCACAGAGGTTCACTGCCTGTACGTGGCAGGTCTGACGGCTTGGTCATCGTAGAAAGTACCCAGCACTGTGCCCTGGCATATAGCAGGCCCTCAGTACAGTTACTTCTCCCCTTCTCCAGCCTGCAGTCCACACCATCAGCCCCAGGAGAAGGGATCGCGAGGTGCTCTCCTGCAGCCATGGATCGGGCTGAAGAGCCGGCTTTTCAGTGGCCGTGAGCACGAGTCAGCCTTGCTCAGGACTCTGACCCCTAGACAGGCTGGTCTCAGCCTTCCACTTCCCCAGGCCTGCCACTGCCAGCCACTTCTGCTCCATCACTTTGGCATTAGCCTCTGCCTGTTGCTGAGGCTGCTCCCGGCCCCCACGTGGCAAGGACAGCTGTGTGGCTAGAGGCCTGGCATGGTGCCTACTGCTAACCTTCCACCACTCAGCAGTGCCTCTCAGCCTGTCACCTGCCCATCTGCCCCATCTATAAGTCTGCAGCTGCCTCTCTGGCCTCAGGTGAGGAACAGCCAGGAGCTGCTGGCACGAGGCTCTGGCGCTCAGGTGGATATGGTGCTTCGGTGGGGAGCAAGGCAAGAACATTCATTCCCACCTTGACCTGGCCTGTCCTCAAGGGCCAGTCTGGGGCTGGTGGGCAGAGGCTGCTGAGTTTAAGATCTCATCCACAGCGACATTCATACTTGGGGCCAGGCTGGGCAGACATCCTCTTCTGCCCTCCTCACACTGACCCTAGGGGCCATCTGCAAAATGGAAACCTCAGCTTCACCTGCCCATCTTGCCAAGTTGATAAAATGTCTCACTGTTGGGATCCTCGTCTCCCTGCCCTGAGCCCCCCTCACCGGCTATCAGTGGCAGAGGCCCAGTAGTGGAGAGGAAGGTGACCTTATCTGACCTTTAGCAGGAGAGACAGCAGATGACACGAAAGAGCAAAGAAACCAGACGGTGGTGGTGGTGAGGGCCCCCTGGCATCAGCAGTGTGGTCACCTTGGGCCAATTCTCTCCAGGGCTAGGACTGCCCCAGCTCGGGGTGGAGAGGACACAGCCACCCGCAGCCACCCAAACCTACTGCTGCACATGGCTCCAGATTGTCACATAAATCAACCTGGGCTTCATTTATTTTTTAATAAATTTGCGTCCAAAATTTGGTTTGGAGCCTGGGGCGGCAGGATGATTTAATTTGCTTTGTCCTTAAGCAAGAGGGAATGTAGGTGGCGAAGGGTAAGTACAGATGTTTTAATTGAGTTTTCAGCAAACAGCCAGGTAGCTCCAGGGAGGGCCCGGGCCACAGGGGGATGGACCAGGTCCTCGCTATCTTCGGCCTCAGCACTGTGGTGCTCTCCGGGCTCTGCCCATGCCAGGGCAGGGCCTCCTGAGAAGAAGCCACAGTGGCAGATGGGGAAGGGGTGTTCATTTTTCACCTGGATGGAAAAGGACGGTGTGTGGGGACAAGCTGTGAGACCGCTGATGTGTGAACAGCGAGAGCGCAGGTTGAGGCCGATTACGAGCCAGGGCTTCTCACGGGCTGCACCTGTTGTTCTGCCCGCAGACGCCCCACACACAGCCTGGCCCTGAGATCACCTTGGGCCACAGGAGACCCGGCACCATTGCTTTGTCCAAGGCCTGAAGAAGGTGAGACACAGGGGGAAGGAGGCAACAAAGATTCCCTCACGAGGGCCGAGCAAGGCACTGAAATCAAAAGACAGAGGGGCAGGGGCTGGCCCTGAGATCACCTTGGGCCACAGGAGACCCGGCACCGTTGCTTTGTCCAAGGCCTGAAGAAGGTGAGACACAGGGGGAAGGAGGCTACAAAGATTCCCTCACGAGGGCCGAGCAAGGCACTGAAATCAAAAGACAGAGGGGCAGGGGCCTGAGACCCCTGCCAGAGGCAGCTCCGAGGCAAGCTGCTCTGGGCTCTGGGACTGTGGTACCAGACCCAGGGCTGGGGGCAAGCCAGGGAGTGTGAGGAAGGACCCCCAGGTCCTGAAGCAGGAGAAGGCACATTGAAATGAAGAGTTCAGTAAGTCACCTGTGTGCCCACAGAGGCCGGCCCCGCAGGCGCATGCATGATTGAGTGGGAGATGGCTGGGAACCTGGTCTTCTTCCACGGGAATGGCAGCAGTGCCCCATCCAACCCCGTGTCATCCAAGGGACATGGAGAGCGTGAACACTGAGCACCCACGGCCCAGTTCTAACGGGAGCTGCTTTTAGTGTTGGAGCAGGAGCAGGGTGGCCGAGCCAGGCTGCTGCCCTGCAGGCCTGGCCTCCTGGAGGGTGGGAACCACGGGTCTCTCGCACTGCCACATGCCCAGGGCGCTCCCAAGCCACTGAGGGTGGCAGGTGGGTGCAGCTTTCCTCAACACTGCAGGAGGCCCTGGGAGCCCTGGCGGGGCAGCCAGGGTAGCAGAGGGTGCCTCTTGGAGATGACAAGCTCCGGGCTTTAAGCCCAGCTTACAGGCTGCTGTGTCCCCATGTGGAAGGGACATGGCATCCAGCCTGCTGCTCCAGAGCTGGCGCCCACAGCAAGGGCCATCACAGCTCTGGTCCAGGGCCCTGGTGCCAATTAGCACTTCCCGTTCTCCAGGTCCTCCCCTAGGAGTGGCACTTAGCGACTCCCAGGCCTGGTGCGGAAGGTGGGCCCTGCCCTCACAGGCAGCTGGGTTAGGATGGTTAGGGCCTGGGATTCACCTCTGATGAGGCAGCAGCTGCTAGTGGAGCATTTCCCAGGCAAGGACGCAGGAGGGGCCGGGGAGGCAGGACGAGGGGACAAAGGCTCTAGTATAAATAGCAGCAGTGCCAGCACCGCGTCTCCCACCACACAGAGGAACGGGCCTGCTCTGGCCGTGGGGTGGTGGTGGTGGGGGGATTGGAGCATGTTGTAAAACAGAGGGGGTGATTCTGGTAACGAGTCCTGGAATCTGGGAGCAGCCGCACGCCACCCCAGGCAGGAGGACCTGGGAGGAGCGCTGCCCTGGTGAGTGAGGCCAGGTGCAGACTGGGTGGAGTCTTGGGCGGGGACAAGACCCGCAGCTGGAGACACAGAGGGTCCCCTCTGAGAGCCCTGCCTCACCTGCCCCGTGAGGACCAGGGAGGCAACTGAATCTTGGCTCTGCAGGTGGGGAGGTGGGGGAGGGGCCCCCAGCCCTCCCATCTCTGGGAGCATGCTGCCATCAGAGCTTGGTCTCGCTGAGGACAATGTTGGCCGTGACAAAGATGAAGCATGAGAAAGCCCAGAGCAGCACGAAGCCCACCCAGAAGGTGTGGCGGAACGGGGACTGGTGCTTGTTGACGGTTCCGTAGCCAAAGGCCAGTTGGGTGTCCTTGCGGCAGTGGAACACCAGGAAGGCAGGGATGACGTACTGGATGCCGGTGCCGGCATAGGCTCCTGTGATGCCCACCAGGGACTCCAGGTCGTGGGTGCAAAAGGCCACCAGCACGGGGGGCACCAGGGTGATGGTGGGAAACACGACGCGGTCCACCACCCACGGGTACGTGCCACCCTCGCGGTGGAAGAGTGTCTTCCAGTTGTTGCGCAGGGTCACGGCAATGATGGGGAAGTTGGTGCTGATGGTAAAGACAGGGAAGAGGCCCAGGAAGAAGCGGACAGCAGCCAGGCCCACGATGTCGCAGCGCGCGAAGTTGAGGGTATACATGTCCATGAGGCTGTCGCCACGGAAGCAGAAAATGGCAGTGAAGGAGAGGAGGCTGTAGAAGGCCAGGATCAGTACGTAGTCCAGAAACACCAGCCGTGTGAGGTGGCGCTTGGAGGAGACGGGGGTGACGAGGGACGGCAGGGAGTGCTGGCACATGAAGGAGTAGACGCACACCCCAAACAGGTTCCGGACCCCTGAGAGGTCGGCCAGGGGCGGGTGACCCTCCCCTTGCCCGTGCCCGATGCGAACCAGTGCCAGCACGATCATGATGATGAAAGCTGGAAAACAAGAAGGGTCAGCCAGCGGGGACAGAAATAGCCCTACCTGGGGCGACTTCTGCTCTGGGGGGCCTGTGGAGGGACTGGAGCCAGGAGAAGGCGTCATTAAACACAGATTTATGCGACCCCAACAGCCACATCCCGGGACAGGTCGAGTGGCTGCTGATCTTAGGAGCGTTCCCTGCATTCTTTCTCCGTGTCCTGTTCTCCCCCCTCCCACCCGGCAGGGGGCCTGGCCATGACAACAGGGGCCAGGGGTCCCGGGACAGGTCGAGTGGCTGCTGATCTTAGGAGCGTTCCCTGCATTCTTTCTTCGTGTCCTGTTCTCCCCCCTCCCACCCGGCAGGGGGCCTGGCCATGACAACAGGGGCCAGGGCTGCACTGGGTCATCAGCCCGGTGGCCTGGCACCATGGCAGCAGCTCTGTCTTCTCAGAGAAGGGCGAGTCCTGCTCAGGCACTGCCCAGAGGCTCTCTCAGGGGCTCTGCCAGCTTCCCGGCAGGGAGCAGGGTGGGGAGGACTCTTGTTCATTCTCCTTCCCTTGGGTTAAAGAATGTGTATCTGGGGAGCTGGGGGAAGTGAGGGGAAGTGGAGGGCAGAGGGGCCCACAGCATTTGGGAGGAGGTGTCCTCCTGGGCAGAGGGCACCCGGAAGACACAGCTGAGGGCAAACAGGCATGGATGCTGGGACCCTGAGCAGAGGTGGGTGGCCAGGGGCAGGATGTTGCCAGTGGTCACTCCAGAGAAGAAACAGCACCAAGGACTGGTGCTGGGACTGCTGAATCCTGAGCTGCTGGCACCAAGGCTGGAGGCAGATGACACAGTGAGGGGCCAGGAACTTGCTGCAGAGGTGGCAAGGGGCCTGTTCAGAGTGAAGGGGCTTCCATGGCTGATGAAGACCAGGTGGATTCCCCCTGAAGCCTTCACAATGCCCCTCCCTCTGGGCCTGGGCCAGTCTGCACAAGCCTGTCCTCTACAGTGTAAGCTCCCTGAAGACAGGGTGAGCAGAACACCCACACCAGCAGGGCTCAGGAAGAAGTGTGCAATCAAAGTTCCCAGAACTACCCTGAAGCCTTCACAATGCCCCTCCCTCTGGGCCTGGGCCAGTCTGCACAAGCCTGTCCTCTACAGTGTAAGCTCCCTGAAGACAGGGCTGAGCAGAACACCCACACCAGCAGGGCTCAGGAAGAAGTGTGCAATCAAAGTTCCCAGAACTCAGAGAAGATGCCACTTCTGGATCTTTCTGTGTTGCTCTAGGATCTGCTATTAAGATGGCCTAAAACTGCCATTGTTAGCTACTCACACACAGAAACCACAGGCGTCCCTGTCTCCATCCTGGAGGTTACAAACTCCTGCTGTCTCTGTTCAGAACAGACCTGACAGCCCCTCCAGCCTGTGCCCTGGTCCCTCAGGTAAAGCCCATGAGCCCATGTGACCTTCCTTGGTGGGCAACGTGCAAAAGCAGTGGCTAGAAGAGGACAGCACGTAGCTCGGCTGCTCCCGTCGGCTGCCTGGTCAAGGGCTCAGGGCTCTTCCCGGTGGGGAGAAGGGGAACCCCCATGGTCTCCTTCCGGCCTTGTCGTACTGCCCGGCTCCTGGAGGGACAAGGCCGTTCTGCTGGGACCACAGAAAGACCAAAGTCTTCCCACAACGACACCTGGGAGTGGAACAGAATCTTCATCTATTACTTTTAATCAGATCTGCCTGACACTGTCGGGGACAGCAGAAGAGCGTGGGAACAGGCCTGTGAAAATTGCCAATAAAAACGGTGATTTGTTCCCGACTCTCACAGCCCGCTCGGTCCCCGCGACTCCTGACTCCGAGGGCCCTGTGACTCCTGCTGCTCCAGGGCGTCACAACTCTTCCCAGCTCTGGTCAGTCAAGGGGAAGTAGTGACCTAGTTCCTCCCTCAAGTCTCAGCCCAGGGAGCTGTCTGCGTTCATCCTCTGGGGATGGGGCACAGGACACCTCAGGGCCTCCCTGCTCCCTCGGGGACAGCCTAGGGCCCCAGGCAGTCTGGCTTGTCTCAGAGGTTTCTGGGGGTGGGTGCCAGAGGAGTGGGCGCAGCAGAGGTTTTGTGGAAGATCCGCACCGCAGGAGGTGTGCTGGGGCAGGATGTGAGGGGGGCCCGGGGAAAGGTGAGACAGGCCTGAGGTGGAGTCTCCATGTGCCAGAAAGTCTGTCCTGGGCCAGGAAGGGTTACAAAACAGAGCTGAGCAGGGTCAGGGGTGTGTACAGGGGGCCCTGCGGCTGCCTGGTGATTAGTTATTCAAGAGGCTGCAGCAGACGGCTCTGTCACAGCAGGTAGGGCGCAGGGTCAGGGCAAAGGGGACAGTGCTGTAAGGCAAGATTCAAATCCTGGTCTGCCCTACCATCTTGGGGTGCCACCTCATGACCGGGTGCTGCTCCTGGCCCCAGCTGGCTGGCACAAATTAGGGAAGAGGCCTGTGGAGAAGTGCTCTGGCTTCTGTGCTCGGCCAGTCTGGTGAGCGGTGGGAGGCCTGTGAACGAGCGCCCCCTCTGGCTGCTCTCTCCAGCCCCAAGTCCCCACGAAGTTGATAGAAATGCAGGTAGAAACTGGCTCCCTTCCTTCAAGGCAAGCTACCTGGACAGTCCTAGTAGAGGGCTGTCCTTGTTGTCAATAAACCAATTTATGAAGTAGGTTCCCAAAGGAATGAGACTGATTTTATAAAGCGTGCACATATACACCCCAGAATGTATACTACAACAGGGGTCCTCCAGAGTACTTGTCTTGCGAGGCTGCACTGTTATGTTACTGATGACGTGGGACACTTTCTAGAACTTTCAGGATCTCCTACAAAGCCATGGCTATGGGTGATAAGAAAAGCTATCTCACAATCTTCTAGCCATAATTAATTTTAACTCAAATGCTACTACCTAAATTAGTTATGCATCTTGTTCTCTCAATTTTCTTAAACAAACAAGTCTATTTCCAGAAACAACTATTTCCAAAAACCAAATCTACCGTCAAAGGCTGGATGTTTACTGCCGTCCAGGAGTGAAAAGATACCAGAAGCTCTTGGGAGGCAATTCCAGGAGTGTTGAAAAGTGGCTGATTTGTGGGGTTGCAGCTCCCCAAAAAGCACCTGGAGGGGACAAGCTCATCCAGGGGGGCATGTGGGATTTTCGTGAGTGTCCTCCCTCCCATTAGTCACGCCCGCACGGTTCCGTCAGAAGCACACCCGGATGCTCCGCTCGGCAGCACAGAAATGCCGGCAGCTTTGGAGACGGCAAACCTCCCGGCCTTCTGAGGATCCTGACTCAGTGCCTGGGTGGGCTGGAGATCCGCTTCCCTGAGGAAGCGGCCCAGGGAGAGACAGTGCCCTTCGGTTCCCCACTTCCACGAGGAGGTGGGCGCTGGGCTCTGTCCCTTGGGAGTAGAGAGGGAAGGAAAATGTTCCAGCCTGGCTTCTGAACTGGTAAGTTCAAAGGAAACCAGTACCACTACCCTAAACCTCAGGTTACGATGGAGAGACAAAGAAAAGGGAAAGGAGCAGGAGGTCCAGGTGGGCTCTGACCTCGAGGGGTCCCGAGACCAGTGGCATGAGACCCAACCCCCACTGCCCACTGGGGACTGCACCTGTGGCCACACCCCTCTGTCAAGGCTCCTCCCTCCCCTGGCTGCTGGAGGAGTGGAATTCAACAGCCACCTCCTAGATTAATTGCCCTGTCCCCTGGAGACAGCTGTTCCAAAAACTCATTAGATCTGATCATAAATCAAGATGAAATGAGGATGACAGGCCGTGAGCGACAGACCTGCCAGGATGCGCGGCAGGGAGCAGGTCTCCAAGAGCACACACCAACGCGCAGGGCCCGGCCGCCCACCTTGCTGGGGTGCGTGGGAGATGCAGATGGATGCGGAGGTGGGACAGGGCAGCGAGTGCTCCCCAGACATCCTGGTGACCAGAAATCTGGGACTTCCCAGATGTGCAAGGGAGTCTGCCCCTGAGCGGGGTCTATAGTTCCCCAAGGGCAGGGCAGGTCAAGCTTGTTCTCTGACCTATCACAGGCCCTGCTCAAAGAATCCATATCCACCTGCCTTCCACACTGGAAGTGACACTGCAGGGGGTGCGGAGAAGCAGTGAGGAGCCAGGAGGGCTCAGAAGGGAGGGAAGAGGGGAGGCCTGACACCATGAGGTCAAGCTTGTTCTCTGACCTATCACAGGCCCTGCTCAAAGAATCCATATCCACCTGCCTTCCACACTGGAAGTGACACTGCAGGGGGTGCAGAGAAGCAGTGAGGAGCCAGGAGGGCTCAGAAGGGAGGGAAGAGGGGAGGCCTGACACCAT